CATTTGTCTACAGCACAATTGGACACGCATTTATATAGTTTATCAGCAAAAAATGGTGATTTGGAGTGACTTGCTCTTTAAAGAAGTCACCTACCTTAACATCACAAGCCACTAAAACTTTGCTTTTTCCACCTCACTTCAAATGTTGAACAGACTTATTTGTTCTAAGTGGATTTTTCTGATCTCAAAAATGTCTCAGCAGCTCATGCAAACACAACCTGACACACTTTACATTGCTGTCAGTTTCACAATACACACTCATGCTAAATGCCATGGTTATTTGCAGCAAAAGTTCAGAGCTATAGCAGGGATGTACATAGTAAACCGGTTAATTGCTGTTAATGTTGTGACCGCATAAAATAGTTTTGCCCGGTTAACGGCCAGCTGAGCTCATGTTCTTCTGCTGCGCACGGGCATAATGTATTATCTGCCACCAGAGGGCATGAGAGCACCACTGTGAAAATCACAGAAGAAGAACTTGTCACATGATCTAATTAAATTACACTAAAATGAGGCATTTAGCAAAGTGCACAGCGTGGGAGCATTTCATGTTTGGTAGTTAACAAAATAAGGCTAACGTCAGAGTGCTGAGCCTGGAAAAACATGGAAATAAAGCCGCGCAGCAAAATGAAATGAGAACAGCAACAGGTCCGCGCCATGGCTACTGCTTTGTGACAGCCTGGTGTCTGCCTCCTCTAGTTTGTTTGGTAAAATAAAGAAACTTTGGTGTAATTGTTTAGTGTAAGGCTACTAGTGTTTTGTGAAAGTATGGCCTCGGGAATGCTCTGATAAGCACTGCTGTGATGCGGGACGACTCGTTACGCAACAGGTTCTGGCGAACATTGTAGCCCTCGTCTCACTAACGTTTTTTTTAGTTTAGGAGTGTTGTAACAGGCGTGAGACTCTGGTTTAGCATCAGAATTATGTTTAAAACATAGGCGGAAAATCGTTTGTATTATTTATAGAGTGGGAGCAGAGTTTTACTTTGTGCATGTGTGTGCGGGGGGGGGGGGGGGGGGGGGGGGGGGGGGGTCACGGTTAACCAAGCATTAGCCAACCGTTTAATGGCTTCAATAGCCAGTTAAACAAATTTTGGAAAACGTGCATCCCTACTAGCTAGCTATTAGACCCCTAGACAGAAATGAATGTCTTCTAGAAGGACCATGTACCAGGAAACTCATAGGGGTGTAGTTTAGAAAATGACAATAATTATCAGACAGATGTTTGTTCACAATGCACACTAAACACCACAGATGATTATTTTAATGCCACTTGGTCCTGCACACCCGTAGACTCCTTATGGAGGAATGTAACAGAAATGATTCTCTGTTTTCAGCTGTAGAGCCCCCCAACTTCAATATCACGACGTTTAATAGGCAAATCTTCCAAATGGTTAAGAAAAACCCCTGTCCTTTTCTCTAACTACCGCCAAGAAAACTATCCTTCGACACTGGAACTCAAAGAAATCTCTGCATATTACTCACAGGCATGGACGTAATTTTGGGGGGGGGGACATGTCTCCCCCACTTTTTCCAAAGTCAAGTTTTGACCCCTGCACTTTTTACCATCCAAAAACAATATTACGCTATATTAAATTGACATTGGTTGAGCTCTAGGACCAAGCAGAAAACAACCGTTTGTGTTGAAGCCTGTTTCCCATTAGAGCATACTATAAAGATACCCCCCCCCCCCCCCCACGTGTCCCCCCCACTTCTAAAGTGAAAATTACGTCCATGCTCACAGGACCAGCCTTCTTTATAACACTAGATAAAATAACATTTGATACCATTCATAATGTAAATACTTTCAGCATTACTTGGAGTGCTTTTTTGAGTACATTTCACCTGAATTAGTCACCTGCGTCTGAAACTGGTCATTTACAGCATAGGAATTTATTTTAATTCAGTTTGAATTACCAAGTTGGTTCACAAAATCATCATACTGATACACTCTCTTTATATTACAATTATATTTATTAATGATAATAACATTTATTAATATTCATTTTTATTTATCATTGTATTGAAGATGGAAATCTAACAACAATTGTTTTAAAATATTATTTTCTTAATAATATATTAATGAATTATATGGTTTTATCAGTGTTATTATTTTATTTAAATTATCCTATTTAAACATATTTAGACCATTCACCACACATATATCTTCTATAGTTGTTTCTATTGTATTTATTTTATTTTATTTTATTTTATTTTATTAGTAGTAGTAGTAGGAGGAGGAGTATCATTTTAGTTTACTAAATGTTTGATTGTCCTTTCAATATTAATCCCATTACTTATTTTTATTTATTTTCTTGCCTCTTTCTTTCTCCATTAAATGGTTAGTTTATTTGTTTGCACTGGTTATACAGTCACCTTGGGTAATAATTTAAAAAAAAGAAAAAGTACAATGATAATTATTTGTTAGCTGCTAATAAATTTTCTCCTCTCTTTCTTCAAACTGAGGTTGTTGAAATGAATCATTCACAAGTTTTCCACCTAAAACCACTCCAGAAAATGTGAACTAACCCTATTGGATAGCAGGTATTTTCTGAATTCCATGAACACGTGTCAGCTGTGAGTAAAGGAAACGTCTCCATGACTCACCACAGCTTGTTTACGGCCATGGAGTTAAACATGTCATTATCTATCTGCTCTAACAAGTTCCCTCCTGCCTGGACAAAGCAGGCATCACCGTTGGCCTTTTCATTTGTTCAACTTTTAACCCATCTCCTCCTGCAGTGCTCTGTGAGGAGCTGCTGTGAACACAGGTGGATGTTGCCTCTAACACCTAAATTACTAACCACTGGCCGACAGGCCACTGTTTGTGAGGCTGAAGGGTTGTGTGTGTGTGAGAGCAGCTGGTCTGCTGCACCTGAGAGTTCATCCTGTCATTTGCAGAAATAGTCTCATCAGGGAGCAGCTGTGAGGCGGCTCAGTTGGCAGCACTGAAAACTCTAAATCACAGCAGGCCGCTCTCTTCATAAGTTTACATTTATCAATATTTATGGAGGATTTATGAATATAATTATCGTGTTGATGTTATTAAACATCCTCCTTTGTCCCGTCATCTCCAGAGGCCCTAGTGTAGTCCCACTGACTGGTCCTATCCCAACTGTAATGGTTCTTCTCATCTCCACTTATCCATCTCTGATACACCTGGGGACAGGACTTTGACGTGTCTTCAGAGGCTGCAGATCTGCTACAATGAGAATGTCATTCTTCTAATCAAGGAAAAATCATTTTCTTGGAATGATTTGCCATTCTTCGTCAGAGCTGGCATGGGCGTCGCACCCCTGGGGGGATTCAACACCCACACATTTCCAGCCGTTTTGCTCACCTCCACACCAGTCTGGTTTCTCTACGTCGCACTCACTCTGTTTGCCTCATCTCCTTCTTCCCCTCCCTCTTCTGTTTCTCCTTGAAACCCGACAGCTGATGTCGTTTTTCAAGGAGAAACAGGAGAGGGAGGGAAGAGCTCGACTGAATTCATAATTTTACATCTTGACATTAGCTGTACAAACTCTGAGTTTGATAAAGTGAAGAACAACAATTTGCAGAGGTTTATAACAGGCGCGGTGCCAGGTTTTCATTTTTGGGTGGGCCACGGTAATTTTGGACGGACCTTAATTAGCAGTGACTTAAGTGAAGCAGGCAGGTCGCGCTAGAAAATTTCATTTAAAAAGACGTCATAAATTTTTCCCCCGTCATTTTTATTTCTAAAATATGAAGTAAAAACTCCCAATTAAATTTTCATTCATTTTTCATTTTATAGGCACCAGAATGCATTACCTGCACTTCTAATATTTACCTCTCAACGTAGGACTCTTTCATAAGTGTACATGCACACCAGTATTTTTTACGGTTATTCATGGGGCAAAATCTCTGACATTTTTGAAAAAATTTTTAAAAAATCAATCTTCCAGTAAAAGCAAAGCATCCAGCCCACCTCTCCAAATGTGTAAAATGTGCATCACAGCCGCTAGGCGCCCCGCGCGCACCATCAGCTATGTCAGCCCAGACAAGAGCAGAGCAAATAGAGAAAGAATAGAGGATAATTCTGTCTGGATGTGGATGGAGATTACATTTTACAGCAGCCTGATCATCATTTAAATACGTAAACCATCACCTGTCTTCTAGTCCATGCTATCAGCATTATTTTAATTGCTGTGTGAGTGTTTGTGTGTGTGTGTGTGTGTGTGTGTGTGTGTGTGTGTGTGTGTGTGTGTGTGTGTGTGTGTGTGTGTGTGTGTGTGTGTGTGTGTGTGTGTGTGTGTGTGTGTGTGTGTGTGTGTGTGTGTGTGTGTGTGTGTGTGTGTGTGTGTGTGTGTACTTTCTGAGATGAGCTGTTACATTAATTTTTGCAGGTATATCAGCAATCAAGCACCAACAGAACAAGGCTTGCACCCTGCAGGACTAGAGGCTCATTTATTTGTACTCGGTGACATTTGCAGCACAGCATCTCTTAATCAGTGTGATGAAGAGCTAAATAAACGTCTAGAGAAATCCTTCTGTGTGCAAACCTTTTCTTTTTGCCTGTTTTATTTCTAAAGTTGTCACCTTTGTGTCTGGGTTCCTACTGCCCTTTTTAATGTGGTTTTCATAGCAATAAGGAGCAGAGGTTTACTTTCTAATATTACCCATGTCAATGTTAGATTATTGTAGAAAGTAATACTGTTAATCAGTTTATTTTAGTTGATTAAAGTAGAGTTTGTCTCATCTTAATAGTTAATCAAACTGTATTTTTTACTGTTTAGATTTGCATATCATAATTGCCACTCTAGTCTTATTTTATCTTAAGGGAAAACAAGGAATTATCTAGATGAAATAAAAGCGATAAAAACTTTCTTAACGTCAATGTCGTGTTTCCATTCCTCAGCTTTTCGAGCACATTGAATCTCTGCCTGCTCTCACTTTTACAGTAATTGTTTTTATGAATGTGCCAGACGTCTCTGAGTGGCCTTGAATTTTAAAACCTTCATTTCTCTGTCATCTGCGCAGCAACCCTTTGCCATCGTGACCGGCTGACGTTTCGTTTCTGTCAGACTCTCCGCTCACTCGGACGCTGCCTCCTGCCAAACGTGCAAATGCAGTGCTGCAAAACGTGCAACCAGCGATCCCACCCCAGCCGCACGTCTCGACAGCAGCAGCGGTGAAACTCTTCAGGTGCTTCATCAACAGGGACTCTGATTACACAACAGGGTCGATACAGAGAATCAACTTTCCTGCCTCTTTTCTGACCTACAGAATAATATCTGCATGTTTAGTGTACTGGTCGGACAGCAAAAGCAAAAAAAAAAAGAATGTAAATATATGTTTGCACTTTTATTACCATACATTATGACGATGTTTGTGGAGCAGAAACTAGGATTCTTTCAGTCTGCTAGTTAAAGCATTAACACAAATAGATAAAGCACTCACTAACATTTCTGGCTGTAATACTTTTTCTAATAATGACATCAACAGAAACTGCACAATTACTGCAAACAGCTGAGGGACTTTATAACCAATGTGGTACCAGTGTTGGGAAACCAGACATCGGTGGTGCATAACTCATGATATTTTAAAATGTTATCTGTTATTCCTTTATTCCTGAGGTCTTAAAAGGTAATTATGGGTAATTATATCCTGCTGCTTTTCTGGTAGGCAGTGGTGGTGTCACACTAGTGTCACAATCAGAGAAACAGAATCATATGAACAGCATGCATTCAAATTAGAAACAGAGGGCTTACTGTAGCTTTCCATCGAGCAATTTTAACAAATAATATTTCAAAAGGCAGCAATCTGGACTGTGATTTTTACCCTGTGCAAGGCACCTTTCACACTGAATGGTGACCCCAAAAACCTTCCACAACCAAGATGGTCTTTTCAGGGTTTGAATCAAGTTTCCTGGTGTTAGAAGTGATTGAGTGTGACAGCTCGGAGCTGGTTTTAGCATATATAAAACTATCATAGCTAGCCTGTCGTGCACCAGGTTCGGGTGGAGCATGGGCAGAGTGGGTGTGTTTGCAGTGGTGTTGGTGCATCAACAAACACCAGCATGGTTTGATCTTCAGGGATATGAAACAGACGTCCAGTTATGGTGTCTACTTGAACAGCAGCAAAGCTTTGAGCTCTGACTGACATATTCTAAATACTCATGTCCTCACCGTAGCTAAAGCCACAGTTTTATTTTAAAAGATCTGAAACAAGTTATCAATGAGACGCTGAGAGTAAAGATGCCAAGTAAACAACGCCCTAAAGCAATAACAGCAGGAGAAGATGGTCCTGAAGGCAACGCTAGCAACATTCCTGAGACGGACAACGTGGAGGAAGCTAGTGCTAGCGACCAACGCTCCAACGGTAACCTACAGACAACCGAAAGTGCATTTTATTACGCAGCTCTAAGAAGGTCTGGAAACTGATTAGTGTTTAAGTTTTTAATTAACTTAACTTGTGTCTCACAACAAGGCCCAGTGGTGGTGTGACTGGAAGATGTATTTGGTAAATAACAGCATCATGATTGCCTTTATATCAATCCAGCTTGCTCTTACACTGATCTTTTATGTAATTGTAGAAATAAATTTTCAGTTTGGCAGTTTGCTGGACTTATTTGATCTGGAGAGAAACGTAAGAGCCAGATTTGAAAAGGGAACTTAAAGGATAAAGCAAGGAAAGGACCTTCATCAACATGAACATTTATCAGTAAATCAGTGAATCTTCTCACATTCAGACATTTGAACAAAAGATGGTTATCAGGCAGGAATCTCCATCTGAAGGTTCCTAATGAATATCCATCATGATCAACAGCTTTGCATCATTCAAACTGAATCCATTTAACTAGAATGAGTAAAAGTGTGAATTTCGAGTAACATTAAAACCCATGTTTTAAATTGCTACGTGGAGTTTGGCGGTATCTCTTTTGCTCCGACAAGAAAAGGGGGAACAGAAATAAATGTCCACAGCTACAGTAGTCATCAATGAAACATGGCCAGGTTAAAAATAATTAGATCACCATTTAAAATTGTTGAGGAAGGCCGTTGTTGGTTTAGTGTCCAGGAAACAGCAGACAACGTCTCGACTAGTAGAAACTAGGGTTGTCACGGTGTGAAAATTTAACCTCACGGTTATTGTGACAAAAATTATCACGGTTTTCGGTATTATCGCAGTATTTTTTTAAACGCGCTACATTTTCAGACAACTAAATAAACCTTGTATATCAGGAAAATATTGTCCTCAGTTTGTGTCTAAATTTCGCTTACAATTTGTTATTTTGTAATTATGTTGTTTATTTGTTTACATTTTTCCCCTTTAGTCTTTAAAATAGCAATATTTGCCCATAACTTCTTATTTTTTGTCTGTTTGATGTCATCATTTTAAAAATATTAGAACAGATGATACTCAGTACTCAAGTAGCATTCTAATCAGATACTTGTTTACCCTTACTTGAGTAATAAACCCTATATCAGGAAAATATTGTCCTCGGTTTGTGTCCTTCCAGTGAGCTTTGCAGATGTGGGAAAATGTCATCAGACAGTAATCATTGTTAAATTCATAATTATTCTGAGAGAGAGACCAACACTTATCTGCCCCTGGGAGCCCCGTAATGCATAGCGTCATTTAAACATGGGGGTGTCCGCGACACGGTTTATATGCAGGTAGCGGCGCTGCGGCTGCTTTATATAGCGACTCGTTGCATTCTCCCTCAACCCAAATCCTCGGATCACGCATTTTAGCTAAAACGCTAACGTTAGCTTGCCTTGCTGTAGAGTTGTGGGTGATGGTCACGCAGATGTGTCATGAGATTTGAAGCTTTGCTGCCTTTCACAGACACTTTTTCTGCACGTGCTGCAAACAGGGTACGGTAGCTGTCTTCAATCAGCTGTCCCTCGGCATTCTTCAAATATCCAAAAAATGCCCGTACTTCCCACTTTGTCTTCTTTGAGGGATAATAAATGTCCTGAGCGCTGCCGTCTCCTCCTTTGGCCATTATTTCAGCTTTAGCTTCAAGAAAGTTTTGGCAACAAAGTGCGCATGTGCCGCCAGCAACTTCAGCAGATGATACGGTGGCTGGTAAGGGTCACCGCGCCTACACCGCAGCCACGGTAATCCACCGAGATAATTTTTTTTCAAAACAAGACGGTTATTATTATTGTCAACTTTTTTTTACTGGGGTTTACCGCTACACCGGTTACCGTGACAACCCTAGTAGAAACTAACTTTAGCATTAGCAACTCCACCACACAGAAAAGCTCCTCCAGACTTGTGTTATTTGTGGAGATAAAACATCATCGTTGCAAGTTAGTGGTAGAGTTGTATTGCTGTAATCTAATCCGAGGCGAGATGTCCAAATATCAGGAAATAAGACTCCCAAGTCCTGCCGTGTTGTGCCACTCTGCTGCAGCAGACTGGTCGTGCTGATGCCAGCGGTTCTGGGCTTTTTTGCCCAGAGCACAGCTTGCAAGGCATTTATTGCTACCAGAGACCACTGTAAATGTGTTGATTAAAGGAGTTTCCCGCACCTTTAAAACGATAAATCTTTGCACTTTGAATAGATGAACACCAAAGTCACATTAAAAGTGTTAACTGCTTGAAGCATTTTCAGCTTCTGGTTTATCTCTCATCCAGCTGGAGGTCAAATTCAATGGCTGCAAAGCTACGTTAAACTGGACTGTAAAGAAAATAAACCTCTTTGTTTAATTCAGTTTAATCTCAGGATTGTGCCGAGTGGGCTGAATCAACAAAGCTCCTTTTCTCATTGAAAATTTGTACTTTTAGCTTGTTATTTGACACAGTTTGAAATTTGATTTTATCACCTGAAATCATGGAGACTCATCTCCAATTAATCCACAGTAATGTACCAGCAGGGAGCTGGTGCTTATCTCAGCAGTTCAGAGGCAGTGGAGACCATGGACAGGCCACCAGTCCATCTTAGGGACACTCAGAGACAAACAATCATTCACACTGTAGGGAAATTTTAGAGTTTTCAATGAACCTGACAAGCAGGGTGTTTGGTATGGGAGGAAACCAGAGAATCCACCGCAAGGTGAATGTGCTAATTGCTCCACCGTGCCTGAAATCAGTTTGATTACATTTTAAATGGTTTATTAGATTCATTTCATTCATCTATTGTTGGTATTTCTCAGTATTTAGTGTGACCGCAGAGTGGATGAGAGTATGGGCGTGGCCACCATAACACCATCTATTTGAAGCTTGGAGTTTCTCATTTGGCCAACACGTCTCATTCTTGACCCTAAAATGATCATGTTTGAATAGGAGTAGAACTGCACCTTATGGTTAATACACCGGCAAGGGTCAAATGTTTGATTAATTGATTATTTGGAACTAGTAGTTAATAATTTTACAAAGGGACCACCAGCATGCCTTCAAATAGTGAATGTAGCTGAGAACGTGAAGGTACCACCTTGTGGGCATCAGTGGGATTGCACATTGAAGCGTTATTCTGTAACATTCATCTTCAGCAAACTCTACTTCCTTGTGATGTCTCTGTATTTTAGTCTTTTAAAACTTAACCTGCTGAGTTTTTGTTCTCCTGCAGCTTCTCTTGTTGATCCAGACCAACTGTCTGGGGGAAAGCTTTACCAAACGCTCAGCATGTAAAACGTTAAATCCTTTATGAAGCTGTTGTAGTCTAAACAGCTGTGTGCTGTCACACTGCACCTTTCACACAAGAACGTTACAAAATAAAATGTGACAAAAAGAAGAATTTGCAGGTAATACTTGGTGCTAAAGGTTGCGTAGGCTCCTAATGTTATGGTGTCAGGTATTGGCTGGCCCAGTGCCTTATCAACTTGAGTAGTGATTCATTTGGTGTTATGAGGTTTTATTAAACATTTGATTGAAAATGTTAAAACTTTTTATTTCTGAGTGAAGTAATCAGAAAAAGGATTTAAAGTCACGTCTCACAGCTTTAATTTGGGAAGAGTAATTGCAGAACGAAGTATGTGATGCATTTCAAATGTGTATCGAATCTTTAACCTTTCATCTGCGTCTCTCTTTCTTTGCCTAGAAACATATTTTAAAACCTGAATCATAAATTAGTAGAAAATTAAAAGCAGCTTGGAAGTCTCACCAAGACAGAAACTCATAAACTGTCCTTTATTTGCAACCTCTAACAGATTAACACCTGGTGCAACATTCCCATTTATTTTAGATGTACTTATATGACATGAACAACAATTTCCTTTTTTTTAACTAAATGTGCAAAATGTCAGAAACTGTGTTTTACAATAAAATTAAAAAAACACATGTTGTCTTAACTTCTTTCATTCTGACTTTGTAGATTCCTTTGAGGCAAATAAAAGTTTTCAAGTACACGTTGTGATTCTCAGAAAAATGTCAGACCTTGGAATATTTTATGTGTTGGTTAAAAAGTGTTTTAAGGCTGTGCAAAAATCGTCTTTGAATGAGAAATACAAACAATACAAGATTCTGTTTTCATTCAAGGGTGCACTTGGACTTCATTTTTTAAAAAGGTCAATCAGGAAAATGCTTAAATGAGAGAATTATTTAAAAACGGTGTAAATTATTTCTTTGTGTCTTTTCTCCGTGGTTACTAATATTTAATGTTCATATTCAGACTTCAGACAAATCTATCAGTTAAATCCAAACATCACGTAGATTGTTGATGCTGATATGGGTTGATTTATAGTTTGGAATTAATTGAATTCAGTAGAAAAGTTGGTTGATCAAACTCAACATAACACAATTATTTTTTCCCATGTCCTGTCCGGCTGCAAATCAGAATTGACGTCTGCGTACCGAAGACAAGCCTTACGGTTTTGCTGTTACAGGTGAAGCAGTATAGCTTCTGCTATAATACCTCGCCTGATACCAAAACTTTATTAGAAATATTTTTGGTTGTTTTAAAGCCCAACGGACACAAAGACAGAAATGAAAGAGATTGGGGGGAGAAGAAAAAAAAAGTTTACAAAAATAAGCAGTAAGAGAGGAAAGAAAAGGAGACACACAAAAATACAACAGAACCAAAATATTGCTGCGCCAACTTTATGAGACTATATAACAGTAAGGGCCGTGATATACTTGCTGTTTAATGGCGCAAACGCATGTTTAAAATGGCTGCCACACATTACTTGGGTCGATTTGAAGTGTTGTTTGTGTGCGTCCCCCGAAATAACGCAACACGTCTTAACACTGCAAAATATAAGTAACCAGTAGGTGGAGTTTTCAAAATAAACAAATCACAGTCACCATGGTTTAGAGATCTTTCACACCATCTATGATACCTCTGCTGTCTTTTTTTTTTTTTTTTTTTTTTTGGTGTCGTGATCTGTCAAATGAACCAGTTAGTGATGCCATGTTTGTTTTGGGTGTGTGCACAAACCCGGCTCTCTTTCTGGTCTGAGTTCTCTAGTGCACCACTTAGTGGAACACGCTTGTACTACATGGCAACGGCAAACAGCGAGTATATCACGGCCCTAACATTTTTTGCTGAAATGCACACGGTAATAATTTATAGTGCATTTAGTGCCAACTACAGTCTTAGGTTATGCTTCAAAAATGCCCAAGTCGATACTTGTGAGAGCACCATGTGAGCACCTGTGCGTACATGCTTGTGTATGTTTTTTTCTATAGGAGTGTTTAATAGTGACTATGAGGGGCCACAGACCTGCCCCCAAAGACCTGCAGAAGATGGAGGAGTTCCAAGCCCCCAGAGAACCAAATAACTTAACACTTCCTGCTGATTTTGGTCTGCAAAATGTAATTTCAAGAAATAACGAGAAATCTTCCCATCTCACGTCCAGTTCAGGTAACATTAATTTGAAATGGTAAATAGTAAATGGGCTTCATTTGTACAGTGCTTTATAAAATCCAAGGACTCTAAAAAGCCCCCCACCCCCACCCCCCCCCCCCCCCCCCCCCACACACACACACACGTTTACACGCTGTTGGTGGTAAATTACAGTGTAGCCACAGCTGCCCTTTAATAACACTTCTGTTTAATCTCACCATGCATTTTATCTTCATGACTGCTCACATGCTGTTTTTGTGGTCCAGGAGCTGAGTCCTCTTTTAAATCTATCTCCACATGATCTCTGTCTGTCTAAAAAATGCTACAGAGGTCACGATGAGCAAATAGAGCAAAGTATTCCCATATGATGTAAATATGATGTCTGCAGTCCAATTCCTCAAGAGCTTAAACAGATGAGGATTCATAAATTCAAAACTTCAGCCAAGTGGCTAATATGAGTCTGACTGGTTGTATTATAATACATAATTTAAAAATAGTCAATTCTAATAACCATTCCTTTAAAAAGCAGCTGAAAACTCACCTGTTCAAGCTGGCTTTTGTGTGACCTTCACCACCCTCTCCTTAGTCTGCCTTTTCTGGGATCCACTCATTTCCTTCTTTCCTATTCATTTTCTCTCTCCATTTCCTTACATTTGTATTTTTATCACAATTTTTTTCTCATTGTAAACATGTTTTTAATTATTTAAAAAAATCTTTACACTTTGTTTTCTTTTTTGTTGTTTGTTTTAGTGAATCGCTTTGTGCCTTATCTTGAGAGGCGCTATATCAAAGATCCTTTCTTTCTTTCTTTCTTTCTTTCTTTTTTTCTTTCTTTCTTTCTAATCAGTGATTATGATCGGTTTGAAGCAGAACTGGTTGGTAACTGAGTTTATTGTGAAAGGCTAAACCAAACACTAAATGTTCCCAAAGATTAGCATTGATGTTATCTACTTAAAAAGGTTACAAGCCCAGCCAAGTTTAGATCCAAAAAACAGCAAGAGGCATCTGCATGTGCAGGATTTTAGAAAGTTTAACCCTTATTTAAAAACACAATGAGCTATAGTGGCTGCACTTTCTCACACTTTTGATAGAGTTGTGTAGACATGACATCACTGCAATATGATTTCATCACATTATACCGTTGAATAATGTATACATTTATTAAATAATAAAGGTAATCAACAAGCAAATACTTCACATTCTGATATTAGGCTGTCCGCCTCGGTCTATAGCTTTGACACACTGCAGACAGGTTCAGTGAAGTCCCGTATTCATTGGTCACTTGTGAGGTTTGAAGGTGTTTGGATTTAACCTCGATGATCAGTAATCGACTGGTGGCAGGGTCACCATCTGGGTAAACTCCTCATAGTTGATTATTCCATTTGACTTGACGTTTGCCTCTTTGAAGAGGTCATCCACTATAAAGAAAACAATGAACAGCTTTGTAAGTGGACTTCACAAAAAAAAACATTTTTATGTGATTTCGCAGAACTCTTAGAATTAATCCGATCAAGCGTGGTTTGGAGGTCAGACTCATGCTTTTTTTCTCCTTTCATTGTTTAATCTTTGATGGCTAATATTAGGTAGACAAATGAAATTTTAGCCTTTTAAATTTGTTTTATATGTATTCTTATCGTTAAATACCAAAATATAAAATGTTCAATTAGACTTTTAACTATTATTCAGAAAAATACAGATTACTGCAACTTTTGAAACTTTTTTCTTTTGAAAAACCAAATTTGTCACAGTGAAATATCACCACCGACACCAAGATGACACATTCTATAAATGTGTTTCCAGTTTGGTTTCTGTGTGTTTTGACATTTCAGTTTATAATCTCTGAGGGGAAAGGTCCTGAATACAAAACAGGAGCTTTAGAGTAGGACAATGGGACAGTTTTGCTTTTACTTTTAAAGTCTTTAACACCATTGTCTGCTTTTTCAGGGAAGTGTCATCAGCTTTCTGCTCAGAAATCCACCCTCTTGATTGTTTAAAAAAAAACTAACTAATAAAAATGCCACCATGATGCTAGAATCCCATGTAGTCAGGAACTTTTGAACAAAGCACTAAATCCTGAGTTCCAGGTTAGCTTCGCCATGGGCGATCATCACTCAACACTCTCAGCTTGAGATTCAAATGTGTACTTTCACTTTAAAGATGACAAAAATGCTGTGATTTGTCACAGCATACAAAAAGAACCGTCTCATGTTCTTAAAAATAGACATAGGTATACTCTAAATAACGTTTTATTGTGCTGTAAATTTAGATGCATTCATTTTATTTCAATTAAAAAGATTTTGCTTCTAAATCAAAATCCATGTCTTTTTAAATAGATCAATGTTTATAGACCCACATTAAAGCTGTTATAACAAATCTACAGAACAAGCTATGTTTTGAACATAAACACGGTCACGAAACACTCATCCCTCCCCTCACGTATCTCCTGAGATGCTTCTGCCAGAACCGGAAACCGGCGATGCCGGACGGCTCAAGATAGTGCTAAACACGTCTTTGTTTTCTAGGTCCAAACGTCTTTTGTTGTCCGTGACTTCAAATGGTGTTTTTCTTTTTGGGACTCTGGTAGTTTGTCCTATAGTTGAAGTGGTAGCAGCCAGCTGTTTCTCCTTCTCTGATATTACTGAGCTGAAAACTTCTCACACCAGTGGTGTTCTGTAGCCAAATATGTGAGTGTGTAATCAGTGGAGGTCCCAGGGAAGAGCAGAAGTGGGGTGGTTTTAAAACTAATGTGAAACAACTACTTTGTTAATTTTTTTCAGTTTGTTTTACCTCCACAATACATTTATAGCTAATGTTAGAACGTTGTTAAGAGATATTAGAAAACTGTTTTAAGCTAATTTGTTTGTTACAGCAGCTTTAAATATGCAGCTAGACTCATTTAAAGTTTTAGCTGCTGTTGCGGTTATTGAACACTAGGGGGAGCAAAAAGCAGAATTTGTCAACACCTGTCACTGTCCCTCCACACCCATTTAATACCGGCTCAATCTGATGAGAAATTTTGGTCCCACATATCAGAGGGAATCAATTCCATACAAAAACATTAAAAAGTTCATTTTATGTACCAAGCAGCCGGTATTCAGGCAAAGGCAACCAACAGACACATTTAATCATTATACTGTAACTTTTAGGTCAATTTTATTTCCTACTATGTATTTGTGTTCAGTCTTTAAAGTGTATTATTAAGTTTTCTATCATATTTTTTTTCAATGTAGCCAATTTAAACAGATGAACACCTTTCACAATCTTCTTTTATAAATATTAAAATTCCAGACTCCAAATGACTGATGAAAGAAGACAAATGCAGCTTTTACATTCAGATTTTCACAAGAAAAAAACGAGTGTTTGTTCTAAAACAACAGTCCTAGGTGACTCTGCAGTGATTAGGACATTGGGTAAATAGTGGGAGAGAAACGATGTATACAGGCAGGTTTACAAAACAGGTGGAGGAAAAGAAGATAAGCCAATTACGACAGTTGGAGGGAAGCTAGGTATTTTTTTCTGCTGAGCTCAAAAACAGCAGCTGTGCTGTTTTCTTCAACATGATGGCAGTTACAAAAGTGAATGATCGAAGACGACTTCGATGGATGTTCGAGCAACGTGGAAGAGGGATTCTGCGCTGAACACATTTCAATGCTTTTACTGAGTAAAATGTGACAAAAGTTTCATTTTTGTCAAATATGAAGAAGACCAAGTTTTCACTGTCCCTCAGAAGTGGGACTTTAAAAGTATTATGGGATGCTCATGTTTAACATTTTGAGTGCGGGTTTAATTCAGACATGTGAGTAACTAGTTTGACTTCGTGATTTTCAAGTATACAATTTCTGTCCAAATGATGAAATGTGTGCTGTTTGTGTTGTTTAGTTTGCATCCTTTAGAGCAGGGGTGTCAAACATGTGGCCCGCGGGCCGGATGCGGCCCGCAAGCGGGTTAAATCCGGCCCGCGAGATGGTTGTGAAAACTTTATTTTCATACTTTACAATGTAGAGTGAAAATAAACTTATCTTTGTGAGCAAGTTTTCTCTGTAACCAGTATTAATAAAACAGCTGCGCTCAAGGCTCATACAAGAACTTGAATCCCATCCTGAAGTTGGCCGCCACTCAGGATGTGACTTCTGATATTGATGTGCTGGTGAAAGCTAAAAGGGCAGATGGCTCCGCTGATGATGTTCATTACCTGACCCATCTGAACTCAGCCTATTGTTTACTCTGGTGTTCACGAGTGTGTGTGTGCGTGTGTGTGTGTGCATGGACGAGTGTGCGGGTGATTGTATGTCCACTTTTGGAAGTTGGGTGCGGGAGGGGAACTGTAATTTTTAATTGTTTTATACTTGGGGAGGGGGCCTGGGATGGGAATGTGGGATCTATGGGGCCATTTTAATCTGTAAAGCACTTTGAGTTGCATATTTTTTGTATGAAAAGTGCTATATAAATAAAGTTGATTTGATTTGATTTAAAATGAGTCAAATATACTTTAAGTGCTGCATGGAACTGATCTTGCCATGTGATCTGTAAGCTCTTTGAATCACTAAGAAATGTTTTATTATGTATTGATTTTTTTATTTTTTTTTTTAATTTTCAAGTACACTTCAGGTGTTGTACTTGTACTATTTTGGATACACTGTCCTCAGGCTCCAGCCTTGTTTTATATTGATTGTATTAAAACAAAGAAAACAATCTGAAGTTTTTTTTTTTTATTTATTTACCGGTCTGGCCCACTTGGGACTAGATTTCCCTCAATGTGGCCCCTGAGCTAAAATGAGTTTGACACCCCTGCTTTAGAGGTTCTGGCCAGGCAGTATTGTCTGTTTTAGTGAGAAAAAACAGTTTCCACCTTTAAGAGGGATGAATGGAGTCACCTTCTTTGTTGGTGAGTTTCTCTCCTAACATGGTGAGTTTGGTGCGTAGCTCAGACGCCTGGATGTAACCTTTCTTCTGCTTGTCTGTCATCCTAAACGCCTCAAGGATTTCATTCTTGGGATCCTCCTGCTGCTTCTGTCTGTGCATCATCGTCAGGAACGTAGAGAAGTCTACCTCACCCGTCTTTTCTGAACACAAACATTTTTCACAGAATAACGGACATGATCTTGACGTAAGTTACTCCATTTTCCTAACCGCTCTATGCATCCAACTTCAGAACAGGATGTTTTCTCACTTCCTGTTACAGGAATACTTACTCCCTTATGTTATTATTTCTAATAATGTAACATTTCTACATCCAAAAGATAAAAATCTGAGATTAAAGGTTAGAAGGGGACTGTACCGATTTTATGAACCTGTAGATGTCGTTCCACTTCGCTGTATGTTGGGCTGGTACCCAGGCAGCGCATAACTGTTATCAGATCCCTTGAATCAATTTTACCTTTTTGCTTTTTGTCATACAAGGAGAAGCACTCTTTACACTCTGCAACAAAAGAACAACTAAATTACTGAATTTATCCCATGTATAACAGAGAGAACACAACTGATCCAAGGAATTTATCTTTAAATGTCAAGAAAAAAAACATTTGGTAAACCTTTACAGTAAGGGTTCCTTAACAATGTTACTTAGTGCATTATTAAGCATTAATAAACTGTCAAATAAAGTATTAACTGTTTAATAATGATGTTAATATTAACCAATGCCTTATTAAAAAGACACCCCCTGGCTCTTTGTGCTAACCTTAAGGACACTTAACAGTTAACAATGTCGAGAATGTTAAAAAAGGAATGCTATGTTTATTATTGTTTAATAATGCACTACGCAACGTTAATAAAGGGACCCTTATTTTAAGCCTTACCAACATTTTATTAATAAATTGAAGTATTTTATGAACTTAACAAAAAACTCAGTTTACTACTTACCATTGATTTGAACTGGTGTGAAGAATTTAGCCTGCAAGGTGACAAAATGTTGTTTAAAGAGAACAAGGCCATCACACCAAAGTTAAAATCATCTCTAAAATCAGTTTAAGAGAAAAATAGTTTTGGTCTTACCATGTCTGAAGTGGGTATGCGTCGTTCCAGGAAGAAGAGTGTTTTCTGTACACTCACCTGCTCCACCTGTCTAAAGTCCAGCACCAGTAAACGGCAACGTAATTTAATACGTGTCACTGTGGCAACACTGATACCAGATCCAGTGTGTTGCTTTGTGCTTTTTTTTAACCATTTGTCCAATAAAACAGAGCCATTTTCCCAGGTGATGGGTCTGGGTTCTTCTCATAATGGAAAGTTATCTGGTAGGAAACAAGTGATTGCTGATTTAAAGGATTTAATGTAAAAAAAAGAGGTGATTTTGGGATCTTTTTTAAAGTGAAGGGTTTAGTCTGAATTTGACAGTGAATTAGTGTCGTGGATCCCGCTGCCTGTTGAGGGCGTGTCTTGCTGACTACTCCGAGTCTCCAACAACCTGCAGGCTGACAGCAGCTATTGAAAAGAAATCAGAAGCATGGTGACATCTCAAGTTTTTTTAATCAATTTTACAAAAAAGCAGAGAGGTCAAACATTTGTTCAGGAGAACATTCTAAAATATGACTTATTAACTGGTTCTCCTTTCCAAATCTACTTGTTTTTTTCCCCCAGCACATTTGCCGTGGTCTCTATTATAAATTAATGCTCTGTGAGTTGATCCTTGAGGAAACAAAGCTCTGGCGCTACTGTTCCAGAAACTAGAACTGAGTCAGAGAAGTGGGATGGCAGGATTTGGAGTCTTACTTTCTGATACTCCGACATCTCACTTCTGATTGGCTAACAGCATAGTAACTCTACCATTGATTCCACTTGCTTTGCAACATTGATGTTTAAACTCCACAAATAACACGAGCCTGAAGGAGTCACCAATGCTAACGGTTAGCTTCTAATAGTCTGGATATGCTCTGCTCTCTCATGGATGCTAAATCAGCAACAGCCTTCCCTGTCGCAAGCCAAGATGAGTGGGTCCTGTTTTTTTTTTTACTTTCAGTGTTTTGAATATCTGACCAGTGATGGGAATAACGGTGTTTAAAACAACAGCATTACTAACGCAAGGTAGTTTTTTTTAGTAATGTGTAATCTAATTACCATCTATCATGATGTCATTTTTCATTACTGATAAGAAAATACACACATTACTAGTTCAGCAGCAAGGTGTGTTGAAACTTTCATCAGCTGATCGGGAGCTAAAGGGGTGGATGTTTACATCCAAGTGCATCAAAGCCAAAAAGGAACAAGGAAGACATGATCAATAGTTACAAATCCACACATTTGTTGCTGCAGGCATGAGTTTGCCCTGTGGTGTGCACATGTGAAGCTGTACCTTTTTAAGTGACAGCAGGACTCCCCGTTTAAGGATGGAAGACGTCAGTTCATTAATTCCTCGTCACAAGCTTTTATCTTCCTAGATCATCCTTTTTAGTCCTGCTACAACATGGACTCAGGTGTTACTAGAACTAACCACATGGCTTCAGCACTTCCACGTTTGGGTCTAACCCAAGTGAGTAAATTTAAGTCCTTGATCAAATTTAAGCCCATTGGTGTCATTTTTTAAGGATTTTTATTCATAGATATGATGTTGCTAGATTATAGAAATGCTAAATAAAACTCCCAATTACAAGTAAAACAGAAAAAATTAGAATGTGCTAAATTCCATTTATTTCAGTAGTAAGACCCTTTAAAAGTATCATTTCAGTTTCATAACATGGACATACATTTTATTATGTTCAAGTCTTTTTAGTCATTTATATTTCATTATTGTAGTAAAAAAATAAATGAAGTTAACTGAATTAAGAGGGATCCCATTTTTCTTGCATATAGACCCTTTTACTACCTACATCATCAAAAGTTGCGCGTGCAGCCTGGCAACGAGAGTGAAGGCTTCCTCATTCACACTCATTACTAAAACAGCGTTTTAAACCCTTTGTTTTGAAGTTCTGAGCACATAAAAATGTCGGGTTGTTGCGTGTATGGATGCCAGAATCGCTTCTCTTCAAGCAGTGGACTGAAACTTTACAGAATTCCGAAGGGAGCACATCCATTTCAACAAAATCGGAGGCGTCTGTGGCTGCAGGCCATCAAAAGGGTTGATGAAAACTGGACTGAAAACACAATCCAAAATGCTCGAGTTTGTAGCGCACATTTTATATCAGGTGAGGTAATTATGTACTAAGATTACATATAAATTTATACGCTTTATTTCATGCTTCAAATTAACATTTTGTTTTAATTCATCTGTATTTTCCCACTGCATATTAGTATAAACTGTATTTCTCTAAAATTAACACGATTGTACTCTGAGCACGCTAAAAAAAAGAAAGCTATGCTATACTCACCCTGCCATGCAGGTACAGTTGGCTGTGAAGACGTAGTTCTCTGGTTTGTTTACTATGACCCAAGCCTCGTACATAGCAGTCTTGTGTCCTTGTCTTTGGCTATGAAGGACTTCTGCCTTCAAGACGCAAAACTCAGAGTCTATGTTGTGATATTTTACTTTCTGTACGTGGCCACAGACAACATAGTTGTATACATCTAACGATTTGATTGCCCGTAGCTTCTCACGTGTGTACTTATAGGGCCTCTCCACTAAAAACATATATATATCGGGCCACTGGATATCTGGCCACGCACCTACATCTTCCACCCATTCTGTAATGCCACAGGGATCCGGGAGTCTGTTGCCATTCGTTAAAGTGAGTTTAATAATATAACATTCAAGATTTGCCGGTGATAACCCCGCAGCGTAGCTTTATAAAGCCTGAAACAACGCCATTCTCTTTTGCCAAGCTGCGAGCGCATTCTCGCTGACGTCATATTGTTTACAAACAGTAAAAGGGTCTATTTTTATGAAAAAAAAGAAAAGCAATAGAGCTCCGGGAGTTGACGTCACTTCTCCCGGCATGCAACAGTTCAAATCGAAACGGCGCCACATTGGCAGGTAGAAGCCGGCAGCTGGACTATTTGTTATTGTCAGAGAACTCAATCAGACAGGAAATATGGTAGATTCCTGTTGTGCCCCAGGATGCAGAACAGACGCGGACGACATAAGGAATGAGCCATCTACAGGATTCCCCAAGATCCGGAGCGCCGCAAACGTTGGATGATTGTAATAAAACGTGCTAGTGACCGGGCTAAAATGAAACTGTGGGATCCCGAGAGTAAAGGCTTTCGCTTATGCAGCGACCACTTCATATCAGGTACTTAAAACGACGTTTCCTCAACTGTGTATGGTATTTATTTAAAATGTTTTTATTACGATTCTTAGTGGGCTTCCTAAACTTATTTAGGCGTGGCTTTTCTGTCTTATTACTCACAGCAACAAGTAAACATCACCTAAAACGTTGCCTCGTGATTTCTGCGTGCTGCCGTTTACGTGTTTTATGATGACAGCAATTAACCGGCTAAGCTGTATTTAATTTTTAAGCAATGGTTGATCAATTGTCAGATCACACATAAAAAGCACTTTGGATTGCTATTATCTGTCTCACCGAGACAGCTCTCAGACAGATCCTGAGACACTCCTGCCTGACATATTTATTTTATTCACGGAAAAAAAAATCAAACTAGTGATTTCTCTTGGCGTTCAGTTTATACATTCAAACAGCACAGCACTCTATTTAAACTACTTACGTGTAAATTTGTCCATCCATCCATCCATTTTCATCCGCTTATCCGGAGTCGGGTTGCAGGGGCAGTAGCGTCGAGAGTCCCAGACTTCCCTCTCCCCAGCCGCCTGAGCCAGCTCCTCCGGGTTCCCCGGCCAGGTCCAGTAAGAAGTCCGCTCCGACAGCTTCTGGCATTTTTAAAAAGTATCCCAGGGGCACGGTAAGGGTCGGAGATGTTTAGTCTATTTAATTTCTGACTATATAAAATGATTTCTTCGGTTTTAAAGTGTGAAGTAAACTCCGACGAAGTAAAATCCAAGCCGATCCCGTTCACGTTCATGCTTAAGATCTGTGTTTGTTTAGCTTCTTTTACCTGCCAATATGGCGTCTACTAACTGAGAGTCACGTGGGGTCCGGAGCTCTATAGTTACTTTTGTGGCAATTAGTTACTTTAATAATGTTGTAACTCAGTAACTAACTCAGTTACTTTTTGATGAGATGATTAGTAACTATAACTAATGACTTTTTGAAAGTACTGGATCTGGTTTTCTAATCCTAGCATTTCACCGTCTGTTTTGTATCGACGACTAATGCAGGAAATAGGATAGAAGACTATTTTCATGTTCAGCCTGCGAGTTAATGATCATATTTCAAAACTAACAAGTAAAAAACTGTTTCTCTGTGAACTTGGTCTTTAAAAATACATTTGCATTGTCATTTTGACATTATATTGGAAAGTCGCATTCATGAGAATAAAACTTACAACTCACCAACAAGTGAGCAAACTCATAATGGTGGTTCACTTTCTATTCTCTAATCCGGGTTATTCAACTTTGGTCCTGGAGGTCCGGTATCCACCATGTTTTAGTGGTTTCTCTGATTCAACACACCTGTGCAGCAGCTCATCAGGCTCTGCAGAAGCCTGTTAATCACCTGCTGATTGAAATCAGGTGTGTTGAAACAGAGTTAAACTAGGATTTGGTAGGTCTCCGTTTGCCAGTGATGGTACTTTCTGGAAGCGTGGCCAGAACCTTCGTTTTGTTTTTCACAAGGTCCAAGAGGGGTTGGATGGAGTGGTGGCCTGGGCTCGGAGATGGGGCTATCGGTTGTCCCAGTCCAAGACCAAATTTATGGTTTTTGGTTTGAAGAGGACTGTGCCTTGTGAGGGGTGTTATGCTATAGGTACTTAGGCCTGTGGTTGGATAACAAGCACACGTGGGGGAAACATGTGCACTTTTTGGTAGCCAGGTGTGGTCGTGTGCTGAATATCTTGCGTTGTCTGGCCGGTACTGATTGGGGGGATTCCAGGGACACCTTGCTGCAGGTTTATAGGGGCATGAGTAGATCGTCCTTGGACTATGGTTGTCAAATGTATGGATCTGCGGCGCCTACTACCCTGAAGATGCTTGATGTGCTGCACGCAGCTGCCTTGCTGGTGTGTAGTGGGGCGTTTCGGTCTACCCCTGTGGCTGCCCTCCTCATAGATGTGGGCGAAATGCCGTTGGGAGTTCCGTCGCATCAAACTGGGGCTACGCTATCTGATGAAGGTTAAGGGTATGGGTGCGGATAGCCCGTGTTCTGAGCTGTTGGTCGGTCACTGGGAGTTTGAAAAGGGGAGGCGGGTGGCTAGGGGCAGCTTTCCTGAACGGTTGAGGAATCAGGTGGTGGGGCGGGGCTTCCTTGACTGGTCGGTTCGCTCCCATTTGGTGTGGCCTGAGGTTTCGACCTGGCTACTGCCGGCCTCTGGAGTGAACCTTTCTTTTATGTCTCGACCACTGGGTGACAGGGGGGTGGGGGCTTTTATGAGGGTGGGGTGGGGTTCGTTCTTGCACCTCTATACTGACGGCTCCAAGGATCCTGAGAGTGGTAGAGTGGCAGTGGGGTTGGGTGTCCCTCTTTTAGGATTTGGTTTAGGTCGTCGCATAACAGACTATTGTTCTGTATTTACAGCAGAGTTGGTTGCAATATTGTGGGCCTTGCAGTGGGTGGCAGAACATCGGCCGACGAGATCTGTGATTTGCTGACTCCGCTGCTGCTCTTGAGGCGTTGGTGGGGGGATTCTTCAGGTCTAGGCCTGACTTACTGGTTAGCATCAGGTTGCTGTTGCACGAAGTAGTTGCTTTGGGGTGTGATGTTTGTTTTGTGTGGGTTCCTGCTCATGTGGGGGTGGGGGGTAATGAGAGGGCCGATACTTTGGCTAAGGGAGTGCTGTTGAGCTGTGAGGTGGATGTGGAGGTGGGGTTGGGAGCATGTGAGTGTCGCTCGGCGGTGGGTCAGATGGCGTTTGACCTGTGGCAGACCTCGTGGGATGGTGGGGTTACTGGGAGGGCTTTTTATGATCTGCAGCGTCGGGTGGGGGTTTCTGGGGTTGGCCATCCTAGCGGGAGGAGAGACTCTGTAGTGTTGATGAGGCTGAGGTTGGGTCATAGCTGTCTTCGGGGGGGGGGGGGGGGGGGGGGGTCTCCTGAGAGTGGGGAAGCACCCTGATGGTTTCTGCCACTGTGGGGTGCCTGGAAACAGTAAAACATGTTTTGCTGGAACATCCCGATTACTCTGTCAAGAGGATGGCCCTGTTAGGGTTTTTGGGTTCTGTGGGGGTGGAGGTTTTTAGTTTGCAAACCTTGTTGAGGGTGGAGGATGGGCGGTGTGTGGGCGCGCTGATGGCTTTCTTGCATCAGCTCGGTGTGTATGCGAGGGTGTGAACGTCATCGGGTAAACCGTAGGTTGCTGTGGCAGCATTACGCCAGATAGGCGTCTAGGCTGCCTTACGACTGAAGAAGAGTTAAACTAAAACGTGCTGGATACTGGACCTGCAGGGCCAGAATCGAATGCCTCTGCTCTAATCCTTCCAGTTTTAGACAGAAATGTTTAAGTTAACAACAATGAGGTGAGACGTTTAACTTTGTTTTATGATATTTTGTTTTCCTTCTTTTTTGTCAGCTTTGCATCACAAAACGGAAGACAAAAAACACAAAACAACTTCAAAAAATATTCTACTTGTCTGAAGCTTGTAACCCTTGTCTTTTCAATTGTCATGTGTATTATTTTCAAAGAGTTGATCTAAATTAGTTTCGAGCTAACAACGATACATCTGAACCTTGAATAGAAAAGCCTTCTAGCTGCCATTTTGGGTGAAAATAACATGGAGATAAAGGAGAGGGTAGACGTGTATCTTGCAGCCGTTAAATAAAAAGCACATTGCAAGTAGTGCAGAAAAAACTTCAAACATTCATCTACTGACCTCAAACAACCCTAATGATCAATAAATTATATGTAAGCTGCATAAGAACTAAGATCAGTGATCTAAACTGAAATGATGTCAGTAAGGAAACGTACCGATGGTTTAGTGGTGAAAGAAAAAATAGTGTTTGATGCAAATGTCTTCTCAAAATATGAACTTAAATCTATTTCACATCCAAGAATAATAAAAAGGCTGGGACAAATTGCAGCACTGTCATCTTTCTTCGCTATTAGCCACAGGCAAACATCTATATTGCCTTGTAAAAAGTAATAATGGACCATAATGTGGTTGAATGATTGGATTCTTTGAGGTAAGATATTCTTTTCACTCCTGTTTCTCATATATTCAGTGTGTTCCTACCTGTTCTATAAATGAGGATGACTCAGAATCTCTTTTCAACATGCCTCAGCATCAACCCTTTGAAATCTTCTCTGAAATGTTCCAGCTCAGTGGCCTAGTGGTATGAGTGTCCGCCCTGAGACTGGGAGATCATGGGTTCAAATCCACAGTTGAGTTATTCCAAATACTTTAATGGGACCCAATGCCACCCTGCTTGACACTCAGCATTAAGGGGTTTGATGGGGGGTTACCCACCAAATATTTCCAGAGCGTGTGGTGCCTGCAGCTCACTGCTCCCCCAGGACATGGGTCCAATGCAGAGAACAAATTTCACCAGTGTGTGATGACTAATGGGATTTGAAACTTTTGTCTTCATCCTCAAGCTTCTGTTGACTCCAGAGAGCTCAGATGTGATGCTTACCTCTCAGAAGGGCAGAATGATGGCAATACGGAGCCCAAGTCTCCACATCTTTCAATCGACTCATGGGTCTCCAGAACAAAGAATAAGTGAATCTAAGTGAATGAGGCTATAAAAGCTATTTTGTAATCCGCTTTGCCTTATGCCCTGAATCACACATATGTTGTACTTCAAATTAAATGGAAAATAAATGGATGTGTTTTCACTATATCTGTCAAGTAATTTGATATTTATTTGCTTGTAAAAATTCGTAATGAAATGACTACAAATCAGACATCGCAGAATCTCTTCTCCCCAGCATAGCTGCTACTTACCACATAGCCAGACTCATAGTGGTTCTTCCCACATTTAATGCTCCGTCTTTCATCCTGGCAGAAGGATTTGAAGCTCGCGAAACTGGTCTTACCCTTTTCTTCGTGTCTGGTTCGATGGCGTCAATATGAGACGAACATTGTAGTCTTATAAGTCTTTTTACACAAAACCTAAATTAACTGTTGCCCCCATTTGAAAATAAGCGCTTTCTTGGCATCAGAATGTGTCTTTAAAATCCATGAACATGTGAAATCAAAGGTACATATCAAACAAGATTAGAAAATAGCTTTTATAGCCCCATTTGCATTAATTTTTCTTTTTTCCAGGGACCCAGTGTTCAGAAGTAGATGGGCGTGACTTAGCCTCCCTATTCTAGACTGAAAATTATCATGAGAAAGCAAAAATAACAAATAAATCACTGCAATTACCATTGTTGAACAAAGTAAATGATAGAGAAAGGGGAAATTGGCATAGATCAATAAAACGCTTTGCTGTTTGTTACTGATAACTTCTTTTAATGGACTAAGGAACATATTTGTATGGTTGGACCAGCAGAACAAGCATCTTCTATGTTTATAAAATACATATTTTAGCAAGTAAAATAAACTGTTGTTATCAACTGTTGTTTAAACACTGCTGAAAAGCATTAAAAAAAATACACTTTCCGTGCCAATAATAGCAAATGTCTCCTCTTGTTCTTGTATGAGTGTTTAGGAAAAAAAACGTACAAAAAACTCATTAAACGCTCGGTAAGCAGTGATGTCATTTAGTGGCTATTCCTGATGTGTAAAGTGTAGTAGGACCAGGGCTCGGGGACATAGAAGAGTCTGGGGTACTTGTGGCGTAGCACCGGGTCGTTCCACAGAAAGGCCACCCACAGAGTCACCAGCAGCACTGTAACACCAAAACTATAGAAAAGGAAGTGGCCATTGCTGTCGGGGCTGAGGCCTTTATAGCGTTGGAACATCACCGTGGCAACCATAGCAAAAAAAGTCAAGAGGAAGAGTTCAGTGATTTGTCCCTCTGTGACCAAATACCTTTAAGACAAAAGAAGAGAAAAAGAAAGATGTTTCATAAATTATTTTAACCACAGACAGACTAGAAAAGAATGGTGTTTTTATTCATAGGCAAGCTAAATAAATATTCCAAATAGACCCAAAAACTAATACTACAGACAAGGATTAAATTATTGGTAGCTCTGTCAAACAAAGACTGAGGTAAAGGTTTCTGACACCAAGCAGCATACCTAACCTCACTCCAAGTTGCCTTTAGTCCTGTAGACCTTAAACATCTGAATCATCAGGTGCCTTGAGACGGTCGTCCAGCCTTTTTCTTTAGGATGCTACTCTGTAGTTAGCTTTCAAAACTTTAGTGAGGTACATCATGGACATGAATACATAGACGCCCCATTGGGCACTAAAGCATAACAATGTTGCCACTATATTGGATGGGTCTCCTCACTCTCCAAAGTCAATGCAGAGTGGGCAACTGCCTGCTTTAGTGCAGCCTATGGTTACAACAACCTGCGTACTATTAAAAACAGATCACGTGGGATTACTAGTGACTTTTCTTGCCTATCTGATAACATTTTTTATTTAATTCTCTTATTTTTATTTTGTGTAGTTATATTTATATTTTAATTATCATGTGACACCATGTGTCTGATTTTGTGAAAAGGCTTGATAAAATGTGTTTCTTAATTGGGTAATCACCTTTCACATTAGAAATGAATGCACTGGGGTCAAATGGAGACCCATCTAAGATGGCGGCTGGCCACTGCAGCAGCTCCAATAGAATGATAAATGACCCGCACTTGTATAGCGCCTCTCAGAGTAAGGACTCCAAAGCGCTTTACACTAAAGTGTATCATTCATCCATTCACACACACATTCACACACTGATGGTGATGAGCTATGATGTAGCCACAGCTGCCCTGGGGCGCGCTGACAGAGGCGAGGCTGCCGAGCACAGGCGCCACCGGTCCCTCCGACCACCACCAGCAGGCAAGGTGGGTTAAGTGTCTTGCCCAAAGACACAACAGCAGAATTCTCTGTCCGTTGTTACTGGACAACCCGCTCATCCTGTTGAGCTACTGCCGCCCAAGTGTCAGTCCACGGGGCGTCTACGTGTACAGTATGTCTGTGAGGTACACACCCTGATACCAAACAGCACTGTGACTACATCCATGACACTGATTACAGGACAAACTTTAGTTTAACGTCTATGGTCACATTAAGCTTTGAGTGAATGTTTTGGGTTGAAGCAGGTTGTAGTGGGCCGGTATGGACCGGTACCAGATCATTAACAATTTTATCCATGTCGATAAATTTCTGATTTTCTCAAAAATGACCTGTCACCAAATTCTTAATGATTCTAAATCCAACAAAAATGAATACTGGGATTATAGGATTACTGAGGTCATACCAAAGTAAAAGTCTACTGAATATGTACGGATTATAAACATGTTCTTAAATAATTATTACAGAACATACTCGTGATAAAAGTTCATTTATCCATAGCTAGACGGTTCTTTGTAAATAGCTTTAGGCTCTGTGGACGACTCCACACAAACTCTGTATTGGCTGCATATCCAAAATTAGGGATGCACAGATATGATACTGGTATCAGTATCAGTAAAAGTTAACCGATACCAATGCAGTTGCCTGAAAGTGGATCCACTGTAACTTGTCATTTCTGTTCACCTAATATTTTAGTTTTGTGATCATTTCTATTAATATATTTTATTTTTTATCCACCTCACAGTCTTTTCCTGTTGAAAGCAGATAAGAAAATAAAACTTGTATTCCAATTCATTGCATTTTTGTGTGTGTGTGTTAGAAGTATCGGTATCGGCGATTACTCAGATCCAAGCATTAGTATCGTATTGTTTGGAAAAAAGTGGCATTGGTGCATCCCTACCCAAAATCCTTTCACTCATCATTGCATGCAAAACAAGTGAAAATACAATAAAATAAATATGCTGCCATTATTATATTCTGGGTGTGCTTTTTTAGGGAAAAAACCTGAACTGACTGACCAGTAGTAAAGGGCACTGGGTCCCAGCAGCAACCATCCAGAAACAGGCATTTTCCTCTGCTCCTCTGAGCTGGAGAAGCAGCCACTGAAGTAGATGAACAGAATGATGAAGAAGGGAATGTACCTAGGAAAAATATTAAATAAGCGCATTAGAAAGCATACACCGGTGTCATTTTTATCTTTATAAGGAACAATGCAATAGGGGTCGTAAGGTTTTGCTTTGGTTTTGCTGGAACTTTGAACGTGTTTGAATACACAGAGACATGTTATCTTTGAAAATAATCACAACCTTGATGGACCCCCCCACCCCCACCCCACCCCCCCAAGTTGGTTTCAACAAGTAAAAAATGTAATACATGTGAAATAACTTTGATAGAAACGACGACTTACTTGCAAACAAAATGTAATGTAAGTAATACTCTATGTAACTCAATTGATACAAGAAAACACCAAATGCACAAATTTCATGTAACATTTGCATTGTGTATTCTATGCATGATATAAAATGGCCGTTTCACATCTGGGCCAGCACAGACCAGACTGAGAAGCTTTTAAAGTGTTCTTATCTATGTAGCCTTGTATTTTTCCATGCTCAATCGGTCGGTTTTTCAGCCCACATAACAAGGTGATCTTCTTCAGGCTGGACGGGTCCAACACACCCACTGCCAACTGACTGGCCAGCTCAAATACATGCCTACCATTAGGGGGAGCCTCAGAGTGGTGGATAGAATCAACTAGCGGGGGCTTCCCGCATGCGCGATTCATTTTCATTCTGGATACTGATAACTAAACGTTGCCTCTGACTGAAACTGCAGCCGCTCTCCATCTCTTACTCATTGCTGTAAGGAGAGCAGACACATGCTCACGGCCACCTTTGGGAGACACCACAGACTTTTTTGCACATCTTTTGTCCCGACCCACGTGCTCAGAGATGTCCCTGTTCCTGAGAAATGTGTAGGGACGGCAATAGCTCATGCGGTAGAGCAGGTTGTCCAGTAATCTGAAGGTTGCAGGTTTGATCCCAGCTCTGACCAGAGAATGCTGCTGTTGTGTCCTTGGGCAAGACACTTAACCCACCTCGCCTGCAGGTGGTGGTCAGAAGGACCGGTGGCGCCAGTGTTCAGAAAGCCTCGCCTCTGTCAGTGCGCCCCAGGGCAGCTGTAGCTACATCATGGCTCATCCCCACCAGCGTGTGACAATGACTGATTGTTTTGTGAGGTGCTTTGGGGGGTTGTAGAACCCTAAGAAGGTGCTACAGAAATACAGGCCATTTCCCATTTACTGGTGCAGGACCCAGACCGATGCCACCCAGCCCGGTCCATGTTGGTCCTTATGTGAAACTGTCACAACATAGGCCTGTCTAGCAAACACACTAGCAGTCCAAGGGGATTCCCACTGAAAACGTGTGCATTTTCCTACAGCTTTGCTACTTAGTGGCAATATGCTTTCATCTGCATATATTCACAAACTGTTTTTAAAGAATCTTAAACTTATCTTTCTCAAACCTGCAGCACGTTTCAAAATTGACAACGTTAAACACAACGATTTTACCAAACCCATAACTTTTCCCAAAAAAAGGTTTTTATCAGACAATTTATGGCCTTCAGCAGGAATACTTTAGCATGGATTCTTAAGCCAAACATGATCAAAGTACAAGTGGCATATTAGCACGTACTACAGAACAAAAAACACTTAATTACTTGTATACAAATGCCAGTTCCCCTAACATCAACCGTTCAAAGTGAGCCTATGCTGACATTGGAATAACTTTAAAACATAGCTTACATTTTTCAACTTTCATTCATGATCTCAGTGATTTCAGCGTTGTTGTCTCCAACAGTGTTTACATGTATGCAACAGTATTCTTTATCTGTAATTTAATCATTCATCGTGATTCTTTTTCTTAGGTCAACGTGGTCTGGCAGACATCTTCTCATTCGAGAGGAAACTATAAAACTCTCAGAAACGTTATAAACCTGCAGGTTTAAATGGAATACCACACCTGACATCAGGGGTCCAAACAGGATCATCTTGACATTTTTAAGAATTTCCCAGTAAAACGAAGTGTAATGAAATCAGTTTATCTCAAATCGTTGCTCTTACAGGTTCAACTCTAGAGAATGTTGCTTCTACATCTTCTATCTCTTTCTTATCCGTGTTTTCCCTTTTGTTTCAGATGCTGTAGCTCATGACAGAGGGAATTTCTTTCTTTTTTAAAAGGGAGCGAGTACCCAAATGACATAATTTCTGAGGACAATGTCACTGAAGATGGGCTCACCCTTTAATCAGAAAAAATAGAGATGTATATTCCACACGTTCTCCAGACCGAAATGGACGACAGCTGGGTTGTTTACCACTGTTACAATTAATAAAGAGCTAAAATGATCATCATATCAGTAAACGTCAACAACAGAAATGGGACAGGGAGACTGCTGTGCAGGTTGATCAGTATGGTACACATCTTAGAGCTTAACCTGCATTTCATTAAAGGTACATTTATAGGACCAGTACATTTTAATAAAAAAAAATTGAGATAAAGAGGTCTTGTTTGCCGTACCCACTTACTGAACATTTTCTCACTTTCTATTAGAAGAATGAAGGTAACCTAATAAAAGTGTCGGCTACACACAATCTCGGAGGTATTTATTTGTTCTTTTTCTCTCTATTAGCAGAAGGAGAGTGTGTGTGCGAAGGAAGGATCCTTCATTTGTGAAAAAATGTGTCCAGAATACCAAAATATGTTCTTTCCAGAGTGAATGCCAACTCAATTATTTCCTAACTGGCTGCAGGAAACAAAGACAGCCAGGAATATTTAACTAAAGGAAGCTATGCTACATCGGGAAAATCTAAAATTGGGTTTTATGTTCTTTTTTGATCCGTAGAATATTTTAACCCCAAAATGCAAAAGAAAAAAACCAACTAACCAAATTATTTGGATGATTCATCAAGGTTTTCTATTATTTGATAGTTGTGTAAATAAAGGCATTTGCAGATATCCACACAGACTACAGAGATGGTTCAAAGTAGGTAAGTGAAAATTATTTCCATTATTTTTTTCTTAAATGGCTCCATTTGAAGCTTTAATGACTTCTTGTTCTTGAGCTATCTGGTCCTAAAGTCAAACTCCATGAACGAACATATACTGCCTGATGTCTACAATCACCTGACATTGACGTATTTCAGAGTTATAGTTGTTTTGGTCAAATCTTAAAAACAACAAACACAAAATATCCAGGTGACTACAAGCACACCAAAGTATTTGCATAATGCAGTTACAGGTGTATTTGTGTTAGCTAAGGTTGAGGAGCAGTGGCAATTGACTTCAAAAGTTAATCAGTAGTAGATGTGCACCCAGTTGTTACTCTGAAAGGTTCATTAAAAACCAACAAATAGCTCATGAGATGTTTTGCACATAAACAAATACTGAAATAGGCAAAAACCCGTCTTTTTCCTTTAGCATGCAATGAACATTTTACATCTTGCATGTGCATATTAAGGATTTAAGTGGATTTAATAACCTTTTTTTTTATTGGATCTCTGCTAAGGAGTAGATCTTGAATGCCTGAACATGTTCATGCTTCTATGTTGTGTGTTGTAACCAAGGAACCGGTTGTGTGTGTGTGTTTCCTGTTTGTGACTTTATGCTAATCTGCGCTGCTCCTCCTGCTCCGATTTGGTCATTATTGAAATGAGGAGGATGTGGGTGTTTGCAGATCAGCACCAAGGACTGAACACTCCCACAGGCACTATTTCTCAGCTGTGCAGCTGTGACCACACGCTGAATTGTCCCCGATAGTAAATCTGCCTCTATCCCCCCCGGTCGGCCAAGACAGATGTAAAGATTAACACGTATTTTAAATTAACAACCTTTAGATGCAGATTTATATTTTCAGGTGATCACAAAAACATCTGAGTTGTCTGCTAGTGAGAAACTTGATTAGATACGAGCCGCCAAGCCCTTTTAACTAACATTTGTGTAGTTACATGCTGTTTCCAAATGCCCTTAATTAGCACGCTTGCTCTTTAACAGCATGTATACGCAACTAGACATCACCTCAATTTAAACGAGGAGTTAAACAAATAGTGGTTAACCATTTAACTCTGCATTATGTCAGGCCTTATTCATGTAATTATCACAATCACATACCACAGTAAATGTCCCAGGTGTTCATCATAATAATACAGCAGCTCAAACGAGTCGATCTGTGGAGGAAGTAACAAAACGCTCAATTAATGAGAGGAAGTCTTTCAACAGGAGCAGGTATGTTTATCTGTAGCTGCAGGGTTATGCAACACTGCCACCTGCTGTTGTGAAAACTTAAGTGGGGGTGGGAAACCAAAGATGTGAGTCTTTCAAACTGAACACCTAATTAGAAATCATTTAAATCACAAGACTTATCAGATTTCAATGAGGCAAAAACCTCAGAGAGCAGCTTGTTTGGCAGCTCCACCATCATTACAGCACACGAGTGATGGTTTTAGAAGCTTCACTCAAACTTTATTAATGTTGAATTTAATTTTCTCAAAAAATATAGCTTTAAAAAATCCTGTTGCTTTAAACATCAAAAGGCTTCCACTATGTAGATGACTGCCTGCAAATATGCTACAGTGTGCTTGACAGTATGAAGTAAGCAAGAGGCAAAACAATACAGAAAACCTTTATAGAGTCACCTAGCAGTACATTATTTTCTGTTTCCTGCTGGGATTGTGGGAAGGTTTTTATTCTGGGAAATAAAAAGCAGGCGCGTCACTGCGTCCCTGCTGTTTCGTCATGTTTTAGGTTCGTCTGCCCTCGAGTACACGGGTTTAAATAGGGACCGGAAATAAAAGCTTTTCAATCAGACATGACTCAGTCTGGAGTTTTGTTGTCAGGTCAGCTTTGATTCTCTCCACCTAATTAGGAACAACAAAAATAGAAGCAGCTGGTTTCAAATAAGGATAAAATAAATCCTGAATACTGGCCGTGTTTTGTGAGATCAGGTATTTAAAATCCATCCTAACAGACTCATAAAGATCCCAATAGACCTTTTTATATATCAGCTCCAATGTCAGTGGTAAAACATGGACCCCCGGAACTAAAGTCAAAACTTCATTCCTGAATGAGGACTTCGATTTCATAGAAGTTTGTGTTATTTTTGGAAACTGATGTATGTTAAAGGTATTGTTCACTGAAAAAAATGTTTTAATATTATCTCTGATTAAAATCGGTCACTCAGTTTATCATGCAGGCTGAACATGAAAATAGCCTCCTACACCTATCTCCTGCATTAGCTTCTGATAGAAAATAGACGGTGAAACTCTAGCATTAGAAAATCCTGACAGATCTACGTCACACTGTCACTTTACATTCATGGACTCACCATCTTGACTCAAGACAGGGAAGGCTGTTGTTGGTTTAACATCCGGGAATCAGCAGAGAATGTCTCGGCTAGTTTAAGCTAACCATTAGCATTAGCAACACCACCACACAGCGGAAGCTCCTCCTGGCCTGTGTGCTTTAGGTTCTCGTTCCTTCTTACAGAGGTAGCACTTTTAAACAACTTCTCTTTACGTAGTTTTATGTAGGGATGCACCGATGGATCGGCATTTGATCGTAATCGGCCGATAGCGCTCCTATCGGTTTTGATCGGAATTTTCAAAATAGATCAAAGCAAACCGATCAGGAAGGGTTGTCACGGTAACCAGTGTAGCGTAAACCCCAGTAAAAAAAAAAGTTGACAATAATAATAACCGTCTTGTTTTTTAAAAAACTATATTATCTTGGTGGGTTTACCGTGGCTGCGGTGTAGGCGCGGTGACCCTTACCAGCCACCGTATCATCGGCTGAAGTTGCCGGCGGCACATGCGCGCATTGTTTACAACAAAACTTTCTTGAAGCTAAAGCTGAAATAATGGTCAAAGGAGGAGACGGCAGCGCTCAGGACATTTATTATCCCTCAAAGAAGACAAAGTGGGAAGTACGGGCATGTTTTAAATATCTGAAGAATGCCGAGGGAGTTTATGGAAGACGGACGGCTATCCTGTTTGCAGCGCGAGCATAAAAAGTGTCTGTGAAAGGCAGCAACGCTTCAAATCTCATGACACATCTGCGTGACCATCACCCACAACTCTACAGTCAACGCAAGGCAAGCTAACGTTAGCGTTTTAGCTAAAATGCGTGATCCGAGGCTTTGGGTTGAGGGAGAACGCAACGAGTCGCTCTATAAAGCAGCCGCAGCGCCGCTACCTGCATATAAACCGTGTCGCGGACACCGCCATGTTGAAATGACGCTATCTATGCATTACGGGGCTCCCAGGGGCAGATAAGAGTTGGTCTCTCTCCGAGAATAATTATGAATTTAACAATGATTACTGCCTGATGACATTTTCCCACATCTGCAAAGCTCACTGGAACACAAACAGAGGACAATATTTTCCTGATATAGGGTTTATTACTCAAGTAAGGGTAAAAAAGTATCTGATTAGAAGGCTACTGGTGTACTGAGTATCATCTGGTCTAATATATTTAAAATGATGACATCAAACAGACATAAAATAAGAAGTTATGGACAAATATTGGTATTTTAAAGGCTAAAGGGGAAAAATGTAAACAAATAAATAACATAATTACAAAATAACTAATTTTAGGCTAAATTTAGACACAAACTGAGGACAATATTTCCTGACATACAGGGTTTATTTAGTTGTGTGAAAATGTAGCACGTTTAAAAAAAATACCGCGATAATACCGAAAACCGTGGTAATTTTGGTCACAATAACCGTGAGGTTAAATTTTCACACCGTGACAGCCCTAATACAGACTATTTTAGATTAGGTTACATTTCCTTTATTCCCAGATTATGTAGTTTGTAGCACTCATTATAATGTTGTCGAAAATTTCTGGCCAATCCACGTGATCGGTATCGGTGATCGGTATCGGTGATCAGCATTCTTTGATATCGGTATCGGTGATCGGCAGCAAAAAACCTGATCGGTGCATCCCTAGTTTTATGTGAGTTGGACCTTATGGAATGGTTGCATGGGGTACAGGTCATTTTATTTGTTTTGATTTTTACTGTGGTTACATAACAATGAACTCAGAAATTGGTTATTAGGAACGGATATCATGCATGTGTCTCTGTGATGAGTGATTGAGATACTACAAATGTGTTTCTTTTTTTGTCTTCCCTTGTTTCTGTAATGCAGCACTATTTATTATGTGACATTGTGGCTCAAAACAAAGTTCCTTTTGAAGACAATAAAGTTTACCTTACTTTACTTTACCCTATTTGTGTCACGATGTAGGAGGTGGAGATGATGGACCATGTGTGGTTGAGCTGAGCAGGAGGTAAAAATGCAGGCTTCAGTAAAAGTAAAAATGGTTTAATGGCAGGATGGGATGAACAGGAACACCAGCAAACAGCAACAATGAACTGACAAAGGACAGGGGCAAAACAGGTGGTATAAATACAGAGGGCTAATTAGGGAAACATGGGCAGGTAAACGAGGGACAGGTGAGAACAATAAAGCCCTTTTCAGACAGACATTCTGGAACATTTGCGGACAATTCAATCCGGTTTTTAACCGGAACTGTGTTTTCAGACACACCACTTTTGTACCGGAACTTGTCCTTTCGCTGCGTTCACACAGCAGGGAAAAGTTCCAGATGTCTGACGGCGGCGGGGGGGTGGGGTGGGGGGAATCGGACTTATGTTAAGAAGAAGAAGAAGAAAATATCATTTCTATAGCGCCTCTCAAGATAAAAATCACGAGGCGCTTAAGCATAATTCTGCGCACACGAAGACGCATAAGAGACCTGGATGATGAAGCTCAATGGTTAAAGGAATCACTGAAGCGGTGTGAAGCGCTCCGTCGCGCGTCTAGGCGGTACCGTAGGAGGTGAGCTGCCGTGGTTCGCCGCATGCTACAGCAGCGGGCTATCTAGGTGCGCACAGCGTCCCCCGGTCCCCTCCTCCTCCCCCTCCCTCTTGTCCGGAACTTTACCTCACCAGTCTGAAGCAGCCACCCTGTCCGTAACAAGTCCGGACCTGTTACTAGGGGCTTCGTCCGGATAAATTCCGGAACACGTTATCCGGATGTTTGTATTCAGACAGAAAGGTCTTACGGACAGATTCCGGAACATTTCCGTTTTTCATGGCCTGTCTGAAGGGGGCTTAAGGGTAATCATGGCAGGAGAGGAACACAGTCAGGTGGGCAGGGGCAGATCGTGACAGTACCCCCCCCCCCCCCCCCCCCCCCTTAAGGGCGGATACCAGACGCCCATAAGGCCACACGACACAGGAGACGGGGACTCGAAGACTGGACAGGAGACGGGGATTCGAAGACTGGACAGGGACTCGAAGACTGGACAGGAGACGGGGATTCGAAGACTGGACAGGGACTCGAAGACTGGACAGGAGACGGGGATTCGAAGACTGGACAGGGACTCGAAGACTGGACAGGAGACGGGGATTCGAAGACTGGACAGGGACTCGAAGACTGGACATGACAGGAACGTGACTGGACGGGGACTCGAAGACTGGGACTTGGCTGGAACTTGACTTGGCTGGACGTGGAGATTTGACTTGGCTGGATGTGGAGACTTGACTGGACGTGGAGACTTGGCTGGACAGGAGCAGGCGTGGGACCCAGGCAGAGAACTGCAGGAGCAGGCGTGGGGCCCATGCAGACAACTGCAGGAGCAGGCGTGGGGCCTGCAGGAGCAGGCGTGGGGCCTGCAGGAGCAGGCGTGGGGCCCAGGCAGAGAACTGCAGGAGCAGGCGTGGGGCCCAGGCAGAGAACTGCAGGAGCAGGCGTGGGGCCCAGGCAGAGAACTGCAGGAGCAGGCGTGGGACCCAGGCAGAGAACTGCAGGAGCAGGCGTGGGACCCAGGCAGAGAACTGCTGGAGCAGGCGTGGGACCCAGGCAGAGAACTGCTGGAGAAGGCGTGGGACCCAGCAGGGACTGCAGCAGTACGAGACCTGCAGGCATAAGCCCCACAGCGTGGACCAGGAAGTGGACGAACGGCAGGAGCGACGCCAGAAAACCAGGATCGGCGGCAGGCACTCGACAGCCGGTCAGAGCAGGTGCACGGCACGGTTCGCTGGATCTCAGGCAGAGGCTTGGGTGCAGGGAAGCAGGAGAAGAGCGGGGAGACCAGTCCTACCACCCCGGAGAACAATGGCGTGCGTAGGGGGTGTAACTCCCTTGTAGCTCCAGGATCCGCGGCTTCCATGTGAAAAACAGGACGGGGACAGAAAGCAGGAGAGGAGAAGGGCTCGACCACCACAGGAAACGGACTGGATGCACCGAAACCCACCCAGAGGCTTGACCACCCCGGAGAACAGGTAGGATGCGCACACACCCTGGGCCAGAATCTCCTTCTGCTAAAGGAAAATAAAAATAAAAAAAATCCTCCAGAGAGCAGGTGTTAGCTCACCACAGGTCCCGGTTTGGTCAGTTCATTCTGTCACAGTGTAGGAGGTGGAGACGGCGGACCATGTGTGGTTGAGCTGAGCAGGAGGTAAAAATGCAGGCTTCAGTAAAGTAAAAAAGGTTTAATGGCAGGATGGGATGAACAGGAACACCAGCAAACAGCAACAATGAACTGACAAAGGACGGGCAAAACAGGTGGTTTAAATACAGAGGGCTAATTAGGGAAACATGGGCAGGTAAACGAGGGACAGGTGAGAATAATAAGGGTAATCATGGCAGGAGAGGAACACAGTCAGGCAGGCAGGGGCAGATCGTGACAATTTGTGGAGATAAAACATCCACGCTGCAAGTCAGTGGTAGAGTTGTGGTGCGTTTATCCAATCTGGGCCAAATGTCCAAATATCAGGAAATAAGACAACAAAACCTGCCACTTGAAGCTCAGCTGTGAAGATTTTTAGGTCAGAGAAAGGGTGCACCAATATATATCTCCCCCTATTAGAGACCACTTGAAATGCATTGATTAAATGAGTAAACCACTCCTTTAAAAGACCAAGTTCAGTCATTTTTCTAGTTCTTTTGCAGTGGTCTAAATTAATACCTTGCAAGTCAATCTGTGAGGAAAATGCTAATTTGCTTTGCAACGCTGATTCTTTATCTCCACAAATAACTCCAGCATGAAGGAGTTCTGCCATGTTGTGGAGTTGCTAATGCTAACAGTTAGCTTCTACTTGCTTAGACATGCTCTACTGTTTCCTGGATGCTAAACCAACAACAGCCTTCCCCGTCGCAAGCCAAGATGAGTGGGTCCACGAATGTTAATTTTCAG